CGCCGAGATCTGCCCCAGATTAAAGGAGCTTGAGCTTGCAGCCTTTCTTGTCATCATAAGCATCATAAGGTGAAGGAGTATAATTGAGGTAGGCCAGCTCAGTTAAAGGCCGGCCCGCAAGCAGAGAGAAGGAACCCGACCCTCACTTTCCTTCTCGCCACTGTGAAAGGAGGAAATCGTCTCTCGTCTCCTCCTCGCCATTTTCCCGATTTTTTTTGTCTTTTTTTGCCAGCTGCCTGTTTCTTTTTTTTTTTTTTTACAAGTTTGGGGTGGAGGAAATGAAAGCTTCAAGGATTTGAAAAGATTATCCAGAAGCCAGCCGGCACACCTGCGACAAGGATCTGAACCAACCGAGTAGCTGTTTTGAGCGAGCTTGGCACTTGCTCTTCCCAACGAGTTGCATTGGCTCTTTTTTAGCATTGGTTTGGAAGACGATTCTTTGCTGTTGTGAGAGCACAAATGCCTTGTTCTGCTCAAAGAAGTAGTCATTGAAGTATCAATTTTAATATAAATATTTGATTTGGCATCTTTTGTTGTTTAGGCGGATTCATGGCGACAACGGGAAGTACGAGCGGCGTTTTCTGTATATCAGGGATGGCGCTCCATAGCAGTCGTTCTGAATCATCATGGTTCGTAAACCGGCAGAGGTGACAGAGGATCCCATCCGCAGTGGGTCTAGCACTTTTCGGTGTACAGCGTTTTGCTGTAGGGCATTTCGGTGCGGACTTTTTGGTGCACAGACATTTCAGTGTACAGACTTTTTGCTGCAAAGACTTTTCGGTGAGCGGATATTTCGGTGCACGGACATTTCGATGCATGGACATTCGACGCTATGGTTTGCTCGCCACTATCTCTTTTCCAACGTACGCAGACACGCTTCACGTCGTGTTTGCGCGTTGAGTTGATAGAAATAGTCTCCTCTATAAGGTGTTGACTTTATTATTAGTCCTGCGTGTAGGAAACGACCCAAACAGCAAGACGTTTGAAGTTGTTTGTGTATTCAGAACAATTTTGAATATCTTCAAATGCGCCTCCTCCGCGTAATCGCATAGCTCCGATTGTTAATAATAAATTGTGATGACCTCGCACGACAAAAAAAAAAAAAATACAAAAAAACAATGTAATTATTACTTGTAACTCATTAGGGAATAAAGTAGGCGCGTGCGGGTACAAAATAAGTGTAATCAAATCAAATATCGATTTGAATCAAGTAAACAAGCCGAATTTGGTGAATGCTAAATCGATTTTATTTGGTATCAAATGTTTGCTCATTCTCGTACGAAAAAAAAAAAACAGTGACCACAGATCATACACAGCGTATGATCTGTGGTCAACGTCTCCTTCCATGCCGTAATGATGTCGCCGGACGTAAAGAACTGCCTTACAATCGTGCTTATACAGGGCGATTTTTTTTAACGACTAGACATTTTTCTAAAAAAGACGTCAGAGCTACGCAATTGCGGTTTGTGCCTTATCTGTACTCATCAAAAACACCAAATCATTCATTTTTAAAGAGATGTAGTGGACGTGAAGTGGCTCACGGCGTCCTAAAAAGCCTCATTTGGACGCGAATCGTGTTACCGCAATCCTTTCGGCCACCGCACTCCTCGCCCCTTCTACAGTGGCGTTGTCACAGCGATGCGCATGATTTGTCGCTTTGGCTTCATGGCGTTAGGCTGTGCCACGCGGAGACGGAGCCCACATAAAATCAGAACTATATTTTCGCGCCCAAATTAGGAGGACGCCGTATAATAGTGTACGCGCGTTACATCTTTTTAAAAATGGACGGTTTGGTGGCTTGCGATTATGGCCAACAACTTTCTAAATACAAGATGCCGTTTTCTTTTCTAATTAAAAGGTTAATTAGCGAATTTTAGGCAATCGGTCGGTTTTAGTTGCGTTCGTTATTGAACCTAATCCTCGCCTGGCCGTATAGCTCACCTACACAAACCGCAATGGCGCTAATTTTCACTGGACAATTTGGTGGCTTTCGATTACGCCCAACAACTTTATAAATCAACTATCCCGTTTTCTTTTATAATCAAAAAGTTTATTAACAAATGTTAGGTAATCAGTCGGTTTTTGTTGCGTTCTTTCTTGAACCCAATCTTCGCCTGGCCGTTTAGCTCACATCCACAAAACGTTAATTTCCACGTTTTTTTCTAATATCTAGTAGGTGAAAAAAACAAAAACAAAAAAACGTTGTATATAAAATAGAGGGCAGTTATTTTCTGATATAAATAAAGCGTGGGGCACGCGTCTTGCATGCATCTCTTTTTTTTTTTTTTTTCCGGCCTATGAAAACAAATTTCGGGACATTCGAAATTGAGCTTATGATGGGGCGGGCGCTTTATCACGGGGTATTTTGTCATGTTTCATAAGCTTTATTACTAGTCAGAAGGTAGCCACGCGAGCCGCATCACGTTGCAAACAGCTAATTCGGGTGTTTCTCAAGCAGCTCTAGAACTTTCCAATTGACATTTTGGTTCTTAATACATCTAAGAAAGTTTGGTACTTAGTCCTAAACATTTAATTTATTAGGCATAATTAAAAATTCTGCAACTCTCGCAAGACGTCTACCCAAAACATAAAGTTGGCTTCATTGGCGTAAAGTGGCTGCGTCTTTCATTTTTATGCTTGGTCTTTAAAGATTCGTGAAAAGCATTTGCGACCTTATCTGTCAAGGCGCGTCGGACAGCGCGGCCTCCTCGGCAAGTTGTTCCCTCATCGAAGACGACAATGAATAAAAGGTGCGATAAAAATCTTAATGCCTGAAAAAAGCGCAAGTTTAAAATAATTCTAAGGGTGTCAGTTGATTTTATTTCTACTATATTCAAATTTCAACACTCGTCGCGGGCAGCATGAAAGGAAGCACTGCACTCTTGGCGCAAACCAGTGCCCAGTCAACGGTTCTACACTCAAACACGCATCACCACCCGACCTGTTTGAAAAATAAATAATTTTCAGTACTTTTGGTAGAAAAGGCGAATTTTCTACTGAGCGTGATATTTTGTGGACCCAAAAGTCCTGTAGCCGGGATCGGTAGTTCATAGCTTCAGGAAGACGAAGAACGACGGATGCATTATTTCCCGCGGAAGTACTGTTTTGAATTTGAATTCCACATAAAATTGTATATGCACAAATTGTGGCACGATACCGAACTTGCTTGATTACTTTTCTTTTAAAGACAACATAACCAGGCGTAATCTACAGATATTGCAGAATTCATTTTAATTGGCGTACAGCGCGAAAGACAAGTATGGACATAAAGAACACAATAGAGCTCTGCATTTCTACTGCATTTCTTTCCGTACTTGTGGACAGTTAGTCCGCATGACTATATTCAAAAACTGCCAAATCGTTTAAGCCTACCCCTTTTTATAATTTTTTTCGTAGATGAATTGTGGCGAATCCCGGCTGGGTTCGGGTAAAGATCTCGCACGTGTTCAAGGACACATTTCGGCATGATTTCCCGCTTGGTGACGACGTTGAGCTGACCGCTGTTCCACTCCTTTTCTAAGTAGGCGGGGAACGCCAGACGCCTAAATTTTCCAAGCAGCCCCAAAACTTGCGGTAGTACACCTTCCGAACTCCTGGGTTTTTTTGGAGATGGCCTTCGCCCACCCTGACAAAGCCCCAAAAAATTATGCAAGGCCTGCAGAGGCTATCTGGGCATTCCGTTTCTTCATCAGCGAACAAATGCGAACAGAAGAGAATGAAAACTTCGTAATACCTGCTGTCTTTTAATAAATGGCATATTATTGCTAGTGGCATAATATTACTAGTTGCACTATTTTACGCGAAGAAAATTGTGATTTTGCGGTTCAATCTCCGTATTTCCCGTTCTCTTTGCTGATACGCAAGATATTTGTCGGGTGTCAAGTTTTCAGTTACATTTGTCGACAGAAACTAAATGCACGTTTGGCCACGAAGAAATTTTTTTCAAAGGCAGAAGATAGATGAAATATACCATAAGCCGTTTCAGTTTTTATGGAAGTTTGTTTTTACTCTTAGTAGCTTCAACGAGGCGGCAGCCACTCTAGAAAACACCTGTAGTACGAACCTCTATATTATGCCCCAGAAATGGTCAGACTGGGTCCCTCTGACTGCAATATCTTTGACTTGTAATTACTCATGATTATTACTTTGTACAAAAAACAAAACAAAAAAAAAAAAAACACAATAGTGATATAATCACTCTTCAGTGTGCCGTTTTTAACGACACATTTTCAACTCTCTGGGTAGAGCTCAAAGTTCGGATAAAAATAACCATTTTTTTTCCTTCTGCTGTGATGTTCAAGTTCCGTTCACTCGAGATAAATATGCGGTGGTGTAGCGTGTGTGGCCGCATGCGAAAGTATCTGAATGTAAAAGAACTTGTTGTTGGGCTAGTTGGTCTTGACTATCTGAGTGTGTTTTAGAACTGCAAAACAAGAGCAAAAAAAAAAAAAAAAAAAGAAAAGCGAGCCAGCCCGAACCCTTCCGAGCTTATATCCAGCCTGCCTAACTAATCCCTGATGCTTGGGATTGAAGCAGAGAACCTTGAAGGGTTACAGAGATTTTGTCGGGGGGCCGGTAAGCCCATTAGCACTCGTGCGAGAAGGCCGTAAAAAGCGAGGAGGAAAATGGAGGAGGAAAGGGGAGAAGGAAAAAAAGAAAAGAGGGGGAATCTTCTGCCACGCTGAAGAAAATTTTGAGCCCCCGCCTTTAAGAGCGCTAGTGTAACTGGGGTATTACATGTTTACTCTTTCTTCAATCTTGACCCGCACAACATGATCCTGGTCCATCAATTCTTCCTCAGCTGCGATCTTCTATCGTTTCGAGTTGTTGGCCACGCGAAATACGAATCACAGTTACGCGTCCCGGTGATTCAAAAGTTCTAGCTGCCGCGTAAACGCAATAAATAAATTGTTTTTGTTCTGAAATGGGACTCTGTAGCGATGTCTGGCTAATAAAGCGCAGACAAATCCAGCACCAAAGAGTGCAGGACGTCATCTCACCTGTGTTCCGGCGTCGCCGCCAGAAATACGTGCGCAAGCTGATGGGCACCGCAGAGGGCCGGTGGCAGACACGTGAGCAGTTGGACGTACAGCTGATACTTGCCGAAATCGCCGATGTGCTCTAACACGGTAGCGATGTCCATACTGGAGCAGCGCCGGTAGTTTGTGAGCACACTTGGCGAGAGAGGAGCGTTAACAGCAAAGACATTGATTTACGGGGTGCTCCAAGCAGTTATAGGTCGTGGTTCCTAGAAGGCACCGGACATTGTGAACAAGTCCCTCCGTTCTTGGTGTGAACGACAATTAATGCTTGACCGAGATAGAACGACTGCCTTTGTTGTCGTCGTCTTCATGCATCGCGAGGCATGACTCTTGGTCCACGGCGGATCCGTGTGACGTGAAGAGGAGCACGTGTTTCACACGAACGTCTCTCGCCCAAACAGGGCTGGCTTGTTGCCGACCGCATGCTCACGCTCCTCAACCTCAACCAGCCTCAAACAGAAAGCTCAACAAGCTTGCAAAGACGGTGCGACGGGAGGTCGCTTGAGACGCAAGCGGCAGTTCATGTTTGTAAGCAGCAAGTGGGTCTATAATACATTGCTGTAGAAGCTTCGGGTGCGAACATGGGGCTTGATCTTGCAGATCATTTGCACGTGTTCTCGCACAAACGAAACCACAAATGAAGCCCCGCGCTCGCGCCAGTAGCTTTACGGAGTATAGGCAACTTAGCTCGTGCTAGCTAGTATAGTTTTGAAACAGTTGAACCTGGGATTTGGATTAAACAAGTGGACAATCACCGGTGTCCTTCCTCGCCCTCGGCGGGGCCCGCGAGGGCGCGGGCCTCCGCCGTTACCGGTTCACCTTCGCGGATGAACCCGACGTGTACTTTTCGGCCACGACGACGCCTGCAGCAGCGGCTGCCGTTCCTTTCCCGACATTGACAAGGCAAGACATCGCCACCACCGGCATTCAAGGCCATCCACGCAGCCCTGCGCCAGTACCCGACAGCAACTGTCGGACCACCACTTCACTGCTAACATCGGCCACCTCCAGAAATACCAAACCTATACACAATCCACAGCAATAAAAAGAGGGCTCAGGCAGGGCTGTCCACTGTCGCCTCTACTCTTCATGTTCATGATATACCTCATTGAAATGGAAAAGAAATTAGAGATCAACTTAGGTTTTGATGTGAGTTATGTGGAAGACGAGAGAAATTAATCCAGGGTCCGTTTGCTCGAAGACTGCCACGAAGCGTGTCCCGCTTCGTGGCAGTCTTCATAGTTGCCAGCACATAACACTAGTTAACTTTAACCGTGGTAGAAAGTTAACCGCATTTCCCTACGAGGGGGAATTTTAGGTCACGTGACCGGCAGAGTAAGGGCTCATTCACACTACCCCCATTTTCTTACGTTAAGTTACGTGACGAAATATTACTTTGAAGTCACCGGGACCCCTGTGCTTCATATTAAGCGAGGCTATTAGTTCAAGGAGAAAGCATGACACGCGACATCCGAGACACGAATGTTTCGGTGACTTATACGTAGCGTAACTGAACATAAGAAAATGGGACAGTGTGAATGAGCCTTTAGGCTGGTAAGGCTGGCGGGGAAGCATGGCGGTGCACCTTTCAGCGAGCGTCGCTCGCTTTGGAACATATATGTCGTAGTTGCTGCACTATCAGGCACATTTGTCAACAATGAATGGTACAGGAAGCTTCCCCCTTGCCTTACCTTATTTCAATCGCGCAGTATAAGCACTGATTTCGCACCACTTTTTAAATTGTCGACATGGCAACGTCTTTGGAATCCTACTGAATTGTCTTGACTCGACCGCGACCGGGCATTGATGGCATGCCAAAGCAGACTGGGAAGGAAATTTTTACGAAACTTGTCTTCACCTGAGACAGCCAAATATTGAACAATTTGCCAAACACGGGTTTATTCGGTTTTACCCAGTATTTGTACCACGAACAAGAAAGCGTTTCTTCAGCTCTAATGTATGCCGCGCTGCGTTGCGAAAACCCAGCAGCGCGCGTACTCGGGTCCCTGTTTTCAGAAAGCTTTCTACGAAAGCCATTTATATTCGCTACAACTAGTAGGTGACACGAGCTACCACTCCATAATAAAACAGAGAGCTATCGCGCATCCAGCCCTCGTCAAACTTGGCTAGGTACTTGTACGTACCTATTCGGAAGGGCGGTTAACTTTTCACTGCGGTTAAAGTTAACCGGCTTCGAGTAAACGGGCTAGGTAATACCAGGACTGATGTATGCGGACGACATAGTACTCATGGAAAATGACCAGGATACATTACAGGAACTAGCTGGAATGTATGGAGAGGAAGGGGACACCTTGGACATGAGTTTTAGTAGTGACAAGTCTGGAGCAATGGTGTTTAACAATGAAATGAAGGAACCCCTGAAGATACAGGACATTCTAACAGACCAGGTAGGGAAATACAAATATCTGGGAGTCTGGCTCAATGAGGGAAGGAAATATCTAGAGGGACATGAAGATAATGTAATTAGGAAAGGAGAGAAATTTGAAGTGGTCACAGGTATATGGAAAGGAGTGATGGTAACAGGACTGTTTTTTGACAATGGGGGTACTGTGCACGAAATCAAAAGTTCAATCAGGATTAGAAATTCAACAAAAAAGCATAAGCAGTTTGGCACTGGGAGCACATGGAAAGACACCAAATGAGGGAATACAGGGGGACATGGGCTAGTCGTCTTTTGACCAGCCTCTTTTGACCACCAGGGAGGCAATTAGTAAGTTGAAATTTGAACAAAGGTTGACCAAAATGGATGATCAATGTGGGCACGGAAAGTATTTAATTATTTATACATGAACAGTTTAAGCCCAAAATGGACAAACCAAACCCAAAAGCTTACATTTAAATACTTACATACAAGTGATGAGGCTGAGCAGACTACTTTAGTGGAAAAGGGAGTGAGAGAGGCGGAAAGGAAAATGTGGAAGGGAAGAATGCAGGGAAAATCAGCTCTGAAAATGTACAGGTCATGAAAACAGGCCATAAGAAAGGAAATGGTGTTTGATAATTCACTGGGAAGTCCTTTACTGTTCGAGGCGAGAACGGTAGTTTTGAGGATGAGACAGACACATTATGTGCCGCCTGCCATAATGAAAGTGAGACACTAGAGCACTTGGTTTTGAAGTGCACAGGACTTCTTCCCGCCCCCCCGCTGGCACAGCGCGGTGCATGCACGACACTCATAGTCAGGACTGCGAGCTGAGCCTGATACAATGCAACTGACATTGAAGGGATTGTCCAGTGATATCGGAAAGTTACAAAGGCTTTGCGCTGGTCATGTAGAGAGGGCCTAAATATAGTGATACATATGTGATACTTATTTTATTAAAAGACGCCCCAATATTTGTTACATCAATTATGGACATCAATACGAAACTTCCCGCCAAGTTTCGCAAGTATGCATGGCTGGTCATGTCGTGACGTCACATCAGGCATGGTAACGTCAGAGTCGGGGGCATTGACGTATTCCCGGTTTTGATCAACATGGTTGATGGTACGGACAAAAGTCATTGTCGAAGAACTGAGCTTCTCTCAATACTGTAAACCTTATCTTTTTTAGAACGAAGGTATTTTACTGAGACAGCCATCAAAAGCTGACGTAGCTCTTTCTGTCAGAGCTTCCGCTGTTGCCAACAAAAACGCTGTGTTTTGCAGGGGCAATCTGAGCAGTTGGGCTCCGTTTAAAATTGAATTACTTGAGCGGTGGAGGATTAATCATTTGGATATTGTGCGGATGATATTCCTAAAAGCAATGACAATATAATTTAATAGTTTTCTGGAAGACAAAATTCTACCGGACAATCCCTCTAAACTTTACTGCTGGGCAGGGGTATTAAGGACTTCTAGCTAACCGTTACCGTGTTTCGCACTACCAGAGCCTTTGAAGCATGCTTTTAAGCTTGCACCCTGTGATCACGGTATCACCCGGGCGCACGCTTAAAAGCATGCTTCAATTGAGTCTTTAACCAGGTGGCTGCTAATTTTTCAAAATAACCTACGGCACCTGTTGTGCCCAAAGACCATTGCGAGGCAAGGATAGATTTATTATTGCTGAACGAGAAAAAAGAGACTTTGGAATAAATCCAAACTAGATAATGTTTCATAGCAAATTGAGAAATTCAGAACATCACTTACGAGTCGTAAATTGTTGTTATGAAAATGCAGCACCATTCAAGAGCAGATGGGGGTTGCTTGAAACAGTGAGCTTGTTTGTTAACCAAATGTGTCTTCTTTATTTACCGCTTCCTTTCTTTCTTCCAAAGGTAGACTGGAGCAGACTCTTTTGTGCCTTCTTTCACCTTCTTCATGGGTGGATGCTTCTTGTCCTGCATTAAAAATCAAGGCAAACACATTCCTAAGTTGAAAAAGTTTAGTCTCCTTGCCTCAATGCTTTGTAAAAAGAAAGTGTGTTTCAAAAATTCTCGGGAAATAATTATTGCACACAACAATGACATCACAGTGGGATAGTGCGGGTGCAAAATGCAAAGGTGGTCTACATTTCTTCCATTCTATCTCAAGGCAAATCGCTGGAAACTGCTGAAGGCACTTCTATAAAAGTTGTAGGCACCTGATTATCTTCAAAAGCAGTCCTTCAAAGAACAATTGTGTCATGTGCCTTACGTAACATCTGCAGAATAGCAAATTGCGTAGTCACAGTAATTTTACGCGAGAGATGCTACACAACAAATTACAAAGAGGTTTCATTTCAAGTCTTGGGGCAAATATAAGCAACTCTCATCAATAAAGACTACTTCTATTTACTCGCTAAATATCAGAGATAGCTCCCATTACTATAAAACTTAAACCTCATGGGAGCTGATATTGCAAGGCAAGTGAAGTGTTTGCCCAAGTTTAGAAAAGTGAATGTATATTATTTTGTCGCTTCAAGTATGACTGTTTGGTTTTCAATTCCTTGGTTTTATCTTTTAATACAGCGATTATTTTTTATCATTGATGTGCTTCTGATCGTTGGTTTACGGTAATCGAGAATTTTCTTTCTGTTTTGGTCATTTGCCAAAGCTTGCAGGATAATGTGACAGGGGGGGGGGGGGGGGTTCTTTCATCTTGTCATGCCTTCTGTGAGTCCCCTTCAGAGAGCAGTAAATACTTCTCATTAGTTGTCCCAAAAAAAAAAAAAAAAGACAGACGTTTACAAATTCCTGTAACGCCGAATTAGAGCGCAGCTATTGAGGAGGAGGTGGGGAAGGTACGGAGAGGAGGCTATGCCATTCCTCCTCTCCTGCTCGCTTCCCATTTAGGGGAAAATTTTACCGGGGAATTGTTTCCGCTAAATTTAGCAGGGGCATTTTCCTGCTAAATTTAGTGGGTAAATTTTTCCCGCTAAATTTGGTGAGAAATTTTTTCCGCTAAATTTAGCGGGAAATTTTTTCCGCTAAATTTAGCGGGAAATTTTTTCCACTAAATTTAGCGGGGAAGTTTTCCCGCTAAATTCAGCGGGGAAATTTTTCCCGCTAAATTTAGCGGAAAGTTTTTCCGCCAAATTTAGCGGGGGAATGTTCCCGCTAAATTTAGCGCGGAAATTTTCCTGGTAAATTCAGCGGGTAAATTTTTTCCGCTAAATTTGGCGGGGAAAAGTTTCTGCTAAATTTGGCGGGAAAATTTTTCTGCTAAATTTAGCGGGAAATGTTTTCCACTAAATTTAGCGGGGAAGTTTTTGCGCTAAATTTAGCGGGGAAATTTACCCATAATGCACCGCGCGGTTACGCCGACGCCGCTCAAGCCGGAAACGGGCTGCCTAAGAGCTGTGCTTTAAAACTTCAAAATAAACTCCCGACAAAAGACAAAGAATTAATTTCATTCAAAATGCTCTGGTGTGTGTGTCAAAACAGAGGATTTGAGGACTTAGCAGTCAATGCACTCTTTTCCTCAGGTGATGCCTTGAAAGAAAGGTAACTCACGAGCAGTTTCTTCTTTATTTCCATTTTCTGCCCGACCACCTTGAGCTCTTTTTCCCTCATCAGACGCTTTGAGAGTTCCTTATAGCTCCTCTTCATTTCCTTCGTAGCCTCCTGAAAAGCAGAGACAGAACATGGACATCACACCCTTTATGTTCATCATGAGGTGAGAAAGGTACTATGTGGGTTTAGAAAAATGGTGACTGGATTATCTAAAGGTCATATTTTTTTGTTGTCTAAAACGATGCAAGTAGTAGTCATAGACATGCAAAAAAATACCGCAATGCAAAAAAAAAAAAAATCTTTTCCCCATACGCACGCCTCCTTTTTATTTTTGGCGCTTATCTCTCCCGCTTTTCACCTTCTCGCTTCTTTTGATTCGTGACGTCAAATATCATGAAATTTAGAAGCTTTGTAGGCGACATTTCTATAACATTTAATAACAGCAATCGTAAAACATGTTTTTTTAATGCAATTGCGAACGCACTACGGCTTTTGTTTTAGAAATACCAAAAATCGGAGTACAGTGTGATGGTGCCTCCTGGATTTTTATCCTCCCTCAGAAAACATGGCGGCGCTTGACTGACGTAGCAGAGGATGATTGGCGAGTCGGGGAATTAAACGAAGTGGACGTTTTCAGGTGCCCTACAATCTCTCAGACTTCGAAAAGGAAATCGTCAAACAGTCAAAACAATTGGGTTTGGTGTCCGTGTATCGTAGTTTCGGCTGTGACTCCGCCGGGGCAGCCTTTCATGCAGAGCCGGCGCGACATCAAGCGTCGTCTGCTCGCAGCAATAAGCGGCACGGCATGCACGGAGGAAACTGGTTGTTCCTCGTACACTGGCGAACACGACACATTGGGTCGCGGCGGCAACGGCGGTTTGGAGCGGAGGCAGGAGAAGCATGAAAGAAACTCAACTCGCAAGACAGCCACTCAATATTTGACTTCACTGCACTGGCGCGGATCGTGCGGGAACTTCAAATTCGGCATTTGAAATTGATTTTTTACTTCATGAATACTGGATTCCCAAGTTTCGAATTTTTAAAGAAATGTCCAGGCATCGTTTTCCATCGTTTCAGATAAAAAAAAAAAAATGTTTTTGACGTGTCAGTGCCTTTTTAACAAAAATCAATTTGAAACGCTCGTGTAAGGGGCAAAAGTGCCAACCGTGTTCAGAAGTGCTTACTTGGATAACTTCATCAGGCACCTCGCCGAGGGATTCCTTGTTGAGCGTTTCGAGTCTTGGCCGGTTGAAGGCTCTGTCCAGCAAAGAAGGGTGTGTGCCAAGTTTCTTGGCAAAGTCAAAGTTCTTCACTGTGCGGAAGAGCAAATGGAAAATGTCTATGTAACAGCTGTCCTACCAAATAATTGGAAACCAAAACAAGGGTATCCTGCATTCAGTAGCATAGCCAGGGGAGGAGCTTATGAAGCTTCAGCACAAGCAACCGAGCGACGACCCTTAGGGGCACACAATGCAGCAGACGGAGCTGCTCCGACTGCTGGCATTTCCGCCGTGCGGCTACCAACACCGCTGCTGCGGCACTGTTTTGGCTGTTCTCTCTACCACTGCCACCCTCCAATTCCTCGCCAGCCCCAAGTACAGCATGAAGGCTTGTATTTACTGCTGTAGAGTACAAGGTAACCAATCAACATACTCTTCAAATGTAATAATAAGCGTAGCCCCAAGTAAAGGCGACTTCTTACACATTTTAATTGCACCACCGGCTGCTTGGCGAGAACGTCGACACCTCGGCACATTGCGTGGTATCGCTTCACCGACCTTCGAAAAGCTACCGTATTTACTCGAGTAATAGCCGCACTATTTATGAACAAGGCCTTTTCGTCTACTTTCCCACAGAACACATATACAGCCAATTATTGCGTTGCGCATAAATAACATAGCGGATAACTAGATCGAGAACACGATTCTGCATACAAATGCAATCTACACAGATGGTATCTTTGCGCAAAGACGTTATCTCTGTCCTGCAAACCGCTGGAATCATGCTGTCAATTGCAGTGATTGCAATCCGTGTGCTTTGCGGAAAAGCGAACCCTCAGGCTTTTTTCATAAACAGTGCAGCTATTACTCGAATAAATATGGTAGTAATGAGGCTTGTAACAGCACCGCGTCCCTTTGCTATTATTATAACTTTCTATCGTCAAGGGCCACTGGCGCAAACGTTGTTGTGGCTGCCACAACGCCACTAACAAAAATATTGAAACTGAAATGTTGCGAGTGACTACATATCAAACTCTCTAGAAAAGGCAGCGCAGAGAACTTCTCCGGCTTGCTTGACGTGCTCCTCCACTGGCTCCAGATCTACCAGCAGCACTAGAAAAGATTGCTCGCATCTGACGGGGGGCACAAGAATCCACTCGGCAAGCATGCACCCGCTATTTGCCAGGGGAAGGCACTAATACATGCCTTGCACCTACGTCGCGTGATGACGTCGAACACTGGTAACCACCATGTTGGTGGTCGAGTTTGAGCCAACAGCCATTTGCAGCAGGAGCCACGGTAAACTGCGCTGCGCTCAGCTGTAGCAATTGCTACGTATCCCGATGACTGTTTCGTCGGCGTGCCCCGCGACAGAGTAGCCGTCAAGTTAGAGAAAGTATGAGTGGCAGGGAAGGGGTCGGCTGCGCATTACCGAGTTTGCGGGACGCATTTCATAGTGGCGAGCGACAGCACTTTTCTACCATTGTTCATGTTCGCACATGCCTTTGCATCAGCCTTGCCCGTTCGTGATGTAAATGCCCTTTGCCTTTTGTCCGATCTTGCTGTTTCCATGCTTCGAGCGTACATTCAAGACTCTCTGCCAATTAAGGGCGAGAGTGTCGCGCTGTAAACTTGGCCAGACGGCGACGTCGGTGGCCCTTGTGTACACGCTTGCCGAGATGCCGCCGCCGCCGGAGCATAGGCTTGTGCCATCCGTAACACGGTAAGCTTAACAAGGAGCAAAAGTATGCAAGTGAGCCGGTTAGGAAATATCACAATCTAAACCCTGAGACAAGGACAGTCATCTTGTTTGTTATTTTATTTCTCCGTCTCAGGGTTTAGGTTATGACGACAACATTGCATTGTCTACCAGTACTTCGCTAAACCATAACAATTTTACTACGAGCGGCTCCTAGAGCTGCTCATCAAATTTTAAAGCGTGCAACGAAGCTTTTTTTTATTTTTCTGTTATGCCAACGTGACAGTTTTTTGTGTTAAAACTTTGTCGGCGGCGTATTGGAACTTTCTGCTCGTAGCGCCACTGCACCCACACCAAAGAATTCCGCGCGTACTGGCTGAACATCTTCATCGTAAGCTCTGGTCGTTTCTCAATGTCCAACCGTAAAAAACTATGTAGCTTCGTTGAAAATATGGTGCATGTCAGCGCATGTCTGGGCAGTCAGCGGCATCCTATGCCTTCGTAAGCGCATCTGTGCGGTGCAAAGTCAACTAGCAGCACGGTGTGGGGCCCCGTTCTACCCCAGCATCATGTCACGTGCAAGGCATTATGACTAGAGCCTGCACATAGAATTTTCTGTTATCCTAAAAATTTCGGTTAAAACGTTCTGACATCAACTCACCTTCCTTCTTAGAGTCTACAAAAAAGGTGTGGGTATTGACGGGCCCATTGTCGTCACCCAGCAGATGCAGGTTGGCTTGCAGCTTGTCAACTTTCTGAATCACATAAACGACAGTACAATCTTTACTGACTGCAAGGAGTGACTTTTAGCCCTTTACCCATTATCGTAGGAAATACGCTCACCCTCGCCTCTGCCACACGTTTCAAGGTGATATAGTTGAGATCTTGCGTCTGCATCAGCTTCAGTTGGGACGGTGTAAATTCTTCGCCTTTAAGCTTTTCATGGTGCTCGCCTCTCTTAAAAAAAAAAAAAAAAATGGACACATATTTTAAACTTTGTAAGTCAGCATACGCATCGTAGAAATGAGACATCTGCCATAATCGTTCAACGACAAACGTGCTGAAATTGCCCTGAATAATGACAAACTTACCTGTAGCTTAGAGTTGATCATATGAAAATAAAACTCATCGGGGTTTCTGGTAAGGGCTCGTTGCTGAAGACGCTTGAGCTTCTGCTGTTTGTTCTGGTAGTCTCTGCAAATGAAGGCAGACAAAAGGTCAAGATCTCGGCAAGGGATCGGCTGAACAGCGTGTGGCTGTTCAGTTGTAGTTTCTGTGGCTGCACCCACCTGGCCCTTAATTTATAATCTTTCTTTTTTTCCAACACGCCCAAGTGGCGCCGGGATTCCGGCTGAAAGTTTTACGAAACATCGTCAGCATCATTCGATCGAAGTGCACACGCACGCCACTGCGGTAGTTGGGTCGAAAGCTTTGACCCGCAAGTGTGAAAACTATGGGCAGCTCTGCAGCCTCCTTACCTGCTGGCGTTCTTTGTGAATCCGTTGGCTAGCTTTCGCAGCCTTCGCGAAGGACGACATGGTCCTAAAATAATAAGTTCCACGCCGAATGTTTCCCTGAAACACGCGTTTTCTACACAGTGGCGGCAGCCATTCTTGGTGTCGATGACAATCGGCAACTCAAAAGAACGTGTTTTGAATCGATTTCGGTTTCGTTATCGGACGTTTGCGTGCGTCCGAGTGGCATGTGTAGGAAACTGAAAATTGGACGCGCCATTATATTCAATTTTTAGCAATTGCACAGCCTACAGTTTTTAATCTTTCTGCTTAAACTTGAACAGCAGAGCGTTCATATTTTTAACTTGGTTATTGGGCCTTCTCTGCGAATAGATATTATACGCATTACCGTTCAGATCTGAAAGAATGACGGCATGTCTCGGGGCTTATCAGGGCTGTTCTAAGCAGAGTAGTGACTGTATTCTCTAGTGCGAGCTCAAATAAATTATATATTTTAGCCATATAAGCTTGGAAATACAAAGGCTCTGGGAAATACAATGCATTTTTGGGATTCTGGCTGAAAACGCGTAACTTGTAGGAATTGTACGCATTCATAACTTATGAACGCATACAATTTCTTCAAGTTACGCGTTTTTATCCATGATCCTAAAATGCTTCCTGTTTCCCAGTGCCTTCTCCTGGCTTATGACTGATACATACGTCAGAAGAAAAAAAATGAATAATAATGGGAGAAACAATCGGTTCGACTTCTTTGAGTGACTCGCGAGACGGAGACGCCGTTGAATAATGAGCCCAGAACATGAAAGCAGAGGAAGACGACTCTAAAATACTCCTCAACAACGGGCAGCGGTCTGGTGCCTCCGCCGCGCAATCAACGCTTGTGCTTCATCGCGCTCGGTAAGCAAACAAGTTTTCTCTAACCGACTGATGAGTGCCAAAAGACGCCCGCCAATAAATGTACATACGACGATGACGAGCTCTCATTGTAACAGAATACAATGCTCCACTTGCGTTTCCTCTTTCTTCTAAACTAAAGGCGTTAAGCAGAAGGTGCTCACTGTTGTTTTTATTCATTCTTTGTTATCGTTCATAATCATCGGTGCGGACTGCAGACTATGACGTTTTGTCCTGTGGAGAGGAAACATTGAAACAGAGTTGATACCCGTACTACGTGGCATTATCGAAGCACGAATGAAAGGGATAGTATGACTAGTTCAAATCTCACTTGATGTAGATCACTTCGGGTAGATCACTTGGGGTAGACCACTTAGCGTAGACGACTTGGAGTAGACCACTTGGCTTAGACCACTTTGGGTAGATCACTTGAGGTAGACCACCCGGGGTAGATCACTTGTGAGAACTAGGCCCTTACCAGATTGGGCAAGTTGTTGAACAAGGCTTGTAAACGCGTCTTGCACTTGAGGTCACCTCACCATGCAACTGGTCATTCGTATACTCGTTCTTGACGAAGAGAAAACATTCGGTGGTGAGAATTGAATGGTACCGAAGGTACGCGCTTAGCAGCAAGACCGCCACAATGGCAGCTGAGGTGACGTCAGTGCAAGTCAAGTTCCATTTTATAAGCTGGTAAAAATTCAAGTCGCATGGCGAAACGTCGGCCGCCACTCTAACCACCCAGGGGTTTTTAACAGTCATTCTTTTTTGTACTCCTCTCACCAGCCTAGTTTACATAAGATATTACATGTCATCTCATGACGAGAGAACCGCAAGTGAAAACTGGCTCCTTATTAAAAACATGTTAATAAAATTACTTCACACTTTTGTGCCAAAAACTGCTATTCCATCTGACCTTGCATCTCCTTGGTTTACCAACAGTCTAAAACGTATGTTAAACAAAAAGAAAAGACTATACTTTAAAGCAAAAAGACTGGACGACTTCGCTGCTTGGTCATCATATCGCTTTCATTCAAAGTTGTGTAAATCCGAAGTAAAAAAAGCAAAATTAACATTTTTTTCCGTCACCCTACCTAACATTCTTTCCACGGACCCCAAGAAGTTTTGGAAAATAGTTAATACAAAAGAAACTAAGAATAGCCCTTCGTTTCCAAACGACCAGGGGGAGGCACTTCGTGATGACCAGACGGCCAATTCGTTAAATTCATTCTTTCCCAGTGTATTTACACGTGAAATATTTCCACTGCCATCCTACTCTCTATCTCATCAGGAAATATGCATGCCTCCAATCTTATTCATTTCGGAAGGAATCCACAAGGCAATTCAAAACCTGTCTTCTAATAGCGCCCCTGGAAATGATGGTATCCCGGCCAATCCACTAAAAATGACACCGCACTCAGCATCAAAAATACTCAGCGCTCTTTTTCAACAAGTTTAAATTCTGCTGATGTACCAGCTGACTGGCTGTTATGTACGCACGAATTGGTCGGAGCCAACGATGAACGTTTTACTGTTTATTTGTTAACATGACTTTTGGCTAGGCGGGAAACCCGGTGGTCCTCCCGGGCAGCACAGACTTGTCGAACGCCCTCAAATTCCCGGCATACAGGCGGCGGCGCCACCAGTCAGTGGCGAGTACACAACATCTCCCCCTTTCAGTCATAGCCATAACGGCACGGTGGTCGCAAGGGCCTTCCAGATCGAGAGGCTGGTCCGGACCTTGACTGTTGGAGTGATGCTGGCTGACTGGCTGGGCAGTCAGGGAGCTCGGGCGAACAGGGCAAACTGCCGAGAGAGATGAGGTCCTCCTCAATGTTGCATCGTCGACGATCGATGACGAGGAACTTGGCATTGCGGCGAATTATGCCCTGGTCAGTGCCAATCCAGTAGGAACGAGGTGTTTCCGCTTTGTTGAGCACTGTCCCTGCACGCTTCAGATCGGTGATCCACACCCTCTGGGACGGCTGGAACTCTGGTCGATCCCTTACAGCATGTCGCCTGTCGTAGTTGATCGCTTGGCGTTTTCGAGCCTTGCGCTCAAAGTCTTCGACTTGATGATGATCTGGAACAGAAGGCCTCAACAGCTCCGCTGATATTGGCACATGTGTCCGAAGTCTCCGGCCAAACAACAACTCGGCAGGGCTGAAGCCGTTCTCTAAAGGTGTTGCTCGGTACGCCAAGAGTGCTCTGTAGGGATCAGATGACTTTGTCAGTTTAGTCTTCGCAATCTTGACTGCGGCCTCTGCACAGCCATTGCTCTGGGCATGTTTGGGACTTGAGGTGACATGCTTGAAACCCCATTTTCTTGCGAAGCACAGAAATTCAGAGCGAAACTGTGGTCCATTGTCCGTCACAACTGTCTCGGGGATCCCATGCCTTGCGAAGATTGACTTCGACTTCAAAATGACAGTCTCTGGTCTTTGATTTTCAAGCAATGCGATCTCGATGTAGCGGGAGTAGTAGTCCGTCACAACCAGGTAACACTTGCCATTAGCATAAAAAAGGTCCATGGCTACTCTTTGCCACGGTCGCTCAGGGAAGGGAGTTGGCATGAGTGACTGGTTCCGAGGTTGCCTCTGCTTCATACAACTCACACATTTCTCCACAGTGTCAGCAATGTCTTTTGATAGACCAGGCCACCAACAGGATTGCTGGGCTCGTCTTGTGCACTTGATGATGCCTTCGTGACCATCATGGAGAGAACTTAGCACTGAGGATCTCAGTGGAACAGGTATCAGGTATCGTTGCCCTCTCATGAGGATTCCCTCATGCAACGTAAGTTCGTTCTTGAACTGCCAGTAAGGCAAGCACTCCTGGTGCACTTGTTTTTTCGTCTTCGGCCAAGTTGTTTGAACATAGTTCTTCAGAGCTCTGCAAACAGAGTCTTGGTCTTGTGCATCTGCAAGGCTCTGCAGACATACGTCTGGGACACTCACATGCCGAATGAGGGCTTGCTCAAAGTCGGCGACTTCCTCTGCGAGGCGCGAGCTGTCCTGTCCCTGCAGTGGTTGACGAGACAAGGCATCAGCAACAACCAAGTCCCTGCCGGGCACATGTTGCATGCTGTAGTCATAGCGCATCATCCTGAGACGCAGCCGTTGTAGCCTTGGCGTAAGATCATCCACTGGCTTCCGTGTGAAGAGGGGAATGAGTGGCTTATGGTCAGTTTCAATGTGGAACCTTAGACCGATGAGATAGTCCTTGAACTTCTCACATGCCCACGTAACGCCAAGGGCCTCTTTCTCTATCTGAGAATATCCCCTCTCTGCCTCTGTCAGAGTTTTCGATGCATATGCGACGGCTCGCAGGCTTTTGTCCTCTTGGCGCTGCATCAGGACCGCTCCCAGGCCAAAACTTGAGGCATCAGCAGACACGATTGTCTCCTTTGTTGGACAGTAGAGTGCGAGCACTGGTTGTGATGTAAGGCAATTCTTTACATCTTCAAAAGCATGTCGCTGCGTGCTGCCCCAGCTGAATGGAACATCCTTGTGAAGCAGATCTCTCAGGGGTCCTGTCTTGACCGCCAGGTTCGGTATGAACCGTGCGATGAAATTCACCATTCCTAAGAACCTCTTGAGTTCTGTGACGTTTGTTGGAGGTGGCATGTCTACGATGGTCGCTATCTTTTCCTTGTCTGGGGTGACACCGTCTTTGTTGATCACATGTCCCAGAAACTTGACAGTTTCCTGGGCGAACACGCACTTTTCACGGTTAAGCGTGATCCCTTTTTCCTTCAGTCTGCCTAAGACTTCACGCAGGCGACTGTCGTGCTCTTCCCTGGTCTTGGCCCACACCAGAATATCATCGATATGACAAGCCACACTGTCAAGTCCTTCCAAGAGTTGATGAGTCATTCTTTGAAAATGCTCAGGAGCACAGGAGATGCCGAAAGGGAGGCGGTTAAACTTGAACCGACCAAATGGAGTGATGAAGGTGGTGAGCAGTGTTGACTCGGGGTGCAGTTTCACTTGATAAAAGCCAGAGTAAGCATCCAAACGGGAGAAGTACTTAGCTTGTCCCAAAGTAGCCAGAATTGGCTCCACACTTGGAATCGGATGATACTCTCTCTGCACACTCTTGTTCAACATGGTGTAGTCCACACAGATGCGTATGTCACCATCCTTTTTCGGTACTACCACGATTGGCGAGCACCAATCTGTTGGCTCACTGACAGTGGTGATCACTCCTTCGTTTTCCATCTTTCGGAGTTGACGCTCCACAG